CCGTCTCAAAAAAAAAAAAAAAAAAAAAAAGAAGCATCCGTTTTATTCTAGAATTTCACATACTGCACCGTAAAATATTTTTAAATCTCATTGTTTTGGGTGTTTTAGGGATGTTTGTTGCTACAGACATCATAAAGTGTTTCTTGTTCCATGAGCTCTCCCTCAGCCTCACTGTGGTGCGGACCCCTCGGTCATGTGCACGGATCTGACTCCAGCGAAACTGTAGTGTTTTCCTCCATTGTGCGTGGGGCAGCCCCGCTGACGTCAGCACCGAAGAGCGCCGATTTCCTGTCGCCCTGCAGTGGGAGCTGATGCTCATTGTCACTGAGATCACAGGAGGTCCTGCGTCCACCCCTCGATCTGGTCACTTAGCGCATTAATGAAAAAGCGCTCATCTTCCTTTCCCAGTGCTTTGCTGTATCTCCGCGCGCTTTTCCCTTTGCAATTCTGTGTATGTTTTCATCTTTAAAACCTGTTCTGAAAGGCTTTGTGAGACGGCTAGAGGACCCGGGGCGCAGACATGGCTGAAGGACCCTTTTCTGGAGAGTTGGGGAATCGGGCACGGGGGACAAGCTGCAGGTCGTGCTTTGGTTCTCTCCTCTGTGTCTGTCACTCTGCGTTTATTCTGCCCCTGCTCCTTGGGTGCCCATCATATCTAAAGGCACAGAGGGTGGACAGGACCCACATCTGTGGGCTGGGGTCATATCTCCGTGGTGGGGGTGTGGGCACTCGGAGAAAGAAAGTGACTCGACCAGTGAGGGAAAAAAATGGGCTGGGCCGGTGTGGGAAGGCCTTTATGGAGAGCAGGGTGAGGGCTCTTGGGCCTCACATCTGGAGGCCGAGGAAGGGAGGCCTGGGTGTATTCGCGAAACTGAAGGACCACCTTTGCGGCTAGACCCCAGCCGGGGAGAAGTTGGGTAGCAATTAATTTTCCTAAACATTTATTTTGTCCCTTCAGTGTGTGAGGACTGGGCACCAAGGTGATTATGAAAGCGTTGTTATAGCAAAGCTAAGGCGGTTGGAATTACGAATTGGGTGTCATCACTCAGTTTCTGGACAGTGAATTGTGGTTGTAGTGACAAATACGAAATTTAGAAGCTCTGGTTCCTGAGAAGTAAGTCGATGTGATAGAGACGTTAGGAACAGTTCTCCCTGATTTTCTCTGTGGCAGATGCTGCGTTTCGTGGCTTTAAAAACCCTAGCACTTGCACAACACCTTGGAATTTTTGTACTTGACAGACGTGAGTCTCAATGTCTATGCAGCTTAGTACATCTCATTGTTTGATTATTTATTACATGAGACTTGTAGAGATTTTAGATAATTTAGGATGACAAACACAGATGCTTCTCATCTTGCATCAGGGTGATGTCCCAGTAAACCCATCCTTGAAAATACCTTAAGTGGAAAATGCATTTAATACACCCACCCCACAACACGTCATAGCCTAGCCTCACCTTCCTTAACCATGCTTGGAACACTCACACCAGGCTGGGCACGCTGGCTTACACCTGTCATGCCAACACTTTGGGAGGCCAAGGTGGGACAATCACTTGAGGCCAGGAGTTCAAGACCAGCTAGGGCAACATAGCGAAACCCTGTGTCTACAAAAAAATGAAAAATTAGCTGGGTATGGTGGCGCACACCTGTAATCACAGCTATTCAGGAGGCTGAGGAGGGAGGATTGCTTGCGCCTGGGAGACGGAGGCCGCAGTGAGAGCCATGAGCATGCCACTGCACTGCAGCCTGAGTGATGGAGTGAGACCCTGTCCCAAAAAAACAACAACAAAAAAACCACAACACTCACACCAGCCTATAGTTAGACAAAATCATGTAACACAGAGCCTATTTTACAATGAAGTGTTGAAGGTCTCATGTGATTTATTGAATACCAAAAGTGAAACCAGTCTGTATAAGCGCTCGAAATATGGTTTCAAGTGAACGTGTATGGCTTTCACCTTAGTGTGAAGTTGAAAAATCATAGGTCCAACCATCATAAGCCCAGGACCTGTCTGCCTATGTGCTTCACTACACAATCTGTGTAGTGCGTACTAAAGGTAGCTTTCCAAAGTCGTAGGTGTGTCTGTTCCACATAAACTTCCAGCAGTGACGACTGAAATGGGAGAGCTGTAGGAAGTAGGTAGGCTGTGGCACACTGACCCTAAGGAAACGAAATTGACATTTATTGACCCTGAGCACTACATAATTCGCATAAAACCTTAAGCCCAGGTCTGCGTTCGGCAGGAGAGCAGGACTCGTGAATAGAAGGTATTTTTACAGGTTACGGGAACGGGGCTTTAATAAGTCTGTTCTTAGACATGCTTAGATTGAGTCCAGACAACAAAAGGCCCAATTTATTTCTCAGGGTTTGACTGAAATTACACTTGCCAGGGCAATGTAGTGACCGAAGTATTCCCTGGTTGGAGTTGGAGTTTCTTTAAAAAGTTGTCTGCCGTCCACACCCAGAGCCACGGTGCTTATGACTGGATGTGGAAGCAGCGCTCCCCTACTCCAAACAGGCAGTTTGACAGTTGACGTGAGATGTCTACAGTGGTATGGCTGCCACCATTAGGACCCAGAATATTTTCATCACCCCAAGACTCCCAAACGTGCCGCACATCAGCCACTGCACTGCCCCCAGCTACCACCTACTTGCCCCTGTTGTCACGGTGCTGCCCGTTCTGGAATCGACGTAAATGGAATCACACAGCATATGGTCTGGCTCTTGCCACTTAGCATAATGCTTTTCTGATAGAATCATCTTTGTTACTGCGTCAATCCATACTTTGCACCTTTTCAGTGCTGCCTAGTTCTCTGCTGAATGGACACTCCATGATTTGTTTAATCGTTCATCAGGTGGTAGGGATTTGGGTGTTTCCATTTTGGAAGCTATGATGATAAAGCTGCTGCGAGCACTCACCTTCAGGGCTCAGCTGTGTGGATGTGTCTCACTTCCCATGCATGGATCACTGGGTACAGTGCCTTGCAGGGTGACAGTACCATCTTGCATTCCTACTTGCATTGTAGGGGGTTCTTGTTTCTCCACATCCTCGTCAACCGTCAGCACTTGGTGTTGTCAATCTTTTTAAACTTCATTCATTGAAGTGGGTGTGAACCATATCTCATTGCATCTTTAAGTGCTGTGGCATGATCACAACTTACTGAAGGCTTGACCTCCCTGGGCTCAGATGATTCTCCCATTTCAGCCTCCCAGGTAGCTGGGACTACAGGTGTGCGCCACCACCCCCATCTAATTTTTGTATTTTTAGTAGAGACAGGGTTTCACCATGTTGGCCAGGATGGTCTCGATCTCCTGACCTTGTGATCCGCTCGCCTCAGTCTCCCAAAGTGCTGGGATTACAGGTGTGAGCCACCACACCTTCTAATTTTAGTGTTTTTTTTTTTGTAAAGATGGGGTTTCACCATGTTACCCAGGCTGGCCTCAAACTTCTGGGCTCAAGCAGTCCACCCACCTCAGACTCACAAAGTGCTGTAATTACAGGTGTGAGCCATTGTGCCAAGCCTGTTTTGTTCTTTTATATTTTCTTATACCTTTTTTTTTTTTGAGACAAGGTCTTTTTTTTGAGACAATGTCACCCAGGCTAGTCTTGAACTCCTGGGCTCAAGTACTAAAGTGCTCCTCCCACCTTGGTCTCCCAAAGTGCTAAGATTACAGGCATGAGCCACCACTTAAAAAACAAACAAACAGGGACTCACTGTGTTTCCCAGGCTGAAGTGCAGTGGTGTGATCACAGCTCTCTGCAGCTTCAACTTTCCTGGGCTCAAGCGATCCTCCGCCTCAGCCTACTAAGAAGCTTGGACTGTCGGCACGCACCACCACACCTGGCTAATATTTTAAATTGTTTACAGAGATGGAGTCTCACTATGTTGCCTGGCTCATCTAGAACTCCTGTGCTCAAATGATCCTCCTGCCTCAGCCTCCC